AGGTTCTTTCTGTAAAAGCACAAGATGAGTTAAAGCAGCTTGAGAACTAAGTGGGGTTTCTCCTGAGGGCAAGCTACGTCAGTTGTCCATTCTCAGTTGTTTTGGTTTGTTTGCAAATTACCTAGGGTCTTCCGCAGGTGAAAGGGTAATTCAGATGTTGAACTCTTGCTCACTTAACCTAGAGGTACTGCCTGGCTCCAAGGATGAAATGCTGTCCCCCTTCCCCCCAAAATAACATGCCAACCAAAACACACCCACATATACAGACACATACACTCTGATTTGACAACACTCACTGACAGACACACACTGACAGACACACACACTCACTGACAGACACACAATCTCACTGACAAACACACCTGTTATCAGGTTTTTATCCCCCATGACTCCTCTCCTGCAACTGTCAAAAATTACCTAATAAGCCCTCAATGAATACTTTTCTAACAACCTACTTCATACTCCTACTTTTACCCTTTGTGTCACTATACCCCACTCCCTCTAGCATGTAAGCTCATTGAGCAGGGCCCTCCACCTCTCTGTTCCTGTACGTCCAATTGTCTGATTACAATTACATGTCTGTTAGTACACCCATTGTACAGCGCTACGGAATGTAATAGCGCTATATAATAATAATAAAATAATAATCGATTTGACACACACAAGTACCCATTCTCTGTACAAGCTCTGCCATCGTCACACATATAACACTATGATATACTAACATGTACCCATTCTCTGTACATTGTACACAGAGTTCTACATGTACATAGTTACATAGTTGAAAAGAGACTTGCGTCCATCAAGTTCAGCCTTCCTCACATTTGTTTTTTGCTGTTGATCCAAAAGAAGGCAAAAAACCCAGTTTGACGCATAATTTTGCAACATGCTAGGAAAAAAAATTCCTTCTTGACCCCAGAATGGCAGTCAGATTTATCCTTGGATCAAGCAGTTATTACCCTACATTGAAAGATTATATCCTTGAATATTCTGTTTTTGCAAGTATGCATCTAGTAGCTGTTTGAACATCTGTATGGACTCTGATAAAACCACTTCTTCAGGCAGAGAATTCTAAATCCTTATTGTTCTTACAGTAAAAAAACCTTTCCTTTGCCTTAGACGAAATCTTCTTTCTTCCAGTCTAAATGCATCACCTCGTGTCCTATGTAAAGTCAGTTTTTTGAATAGATTTTTTTGGTTTGTATTGGCCCCGAATATATTTGTATAATGTTATCATATCTCCTCTCAGGCGACGTTTTTCTAAACTAAATAGGTTTAAATTTGTTAACCTTTCTTCATAGCTGATATGTTCCATTCCTTTTATTAATTTTGTAGCCCGCCTCTGCACTTTTTCTAGTGCCATAATATCCTTCTTTAGAACAGGTGCCCAAAATTGCATAGCATATTCAATATGTGGTCTTACCAGTGATTTATAAAGAGGCAAAATGATATTCTCGTCCTGAGAATGAATGCCCTTTTTCATGCATGACAATACAGTATTTTGCCATACCCTCACACCTGCCACCGTGGATGGAGCAGTTTGTTGGAGGGTGACAGTGGGGGGGAATTGGCGGTGTGTGCGAGAAGATGAAAGTGTGGTGGGGGGTGGTAGAGAGTGATAGTATGGGGGGGTAACAGTGTGTAGGCAGTGTGTGTGTTGGTGACAGTGTGGGGGGGCAGTGTGTGTTGGTGACAGTATGGGGTAGTGTGTGTGTTTGTGACAGTGTGGATGGCAGTGTGTGTTTGCTAGTGACAGTGTGGGAGGCAGTGTGTGTTTGTTGGTGACAGTGTGGGTGGATAGTGTGTGTGTTGGTGATAAAGTGGGGGCAGTGTGTGTTTGTTGGTGACAGTGTGGGGGTAGTGTGTGTGTTGGTTACATTGTAGGGAGGCAGTGTCTGTGTAGGTGACTGTGTGACAGGGCAGTGTGTGTGTTGGTGACAGTGTGGGGGCAGTGTGTGTTTGTTGTTGACAGTGTGGGGGCATTGTGTGTGTGTTGGTCACAGTGTGGGGGCACTGTGTGTGTTGGTGACAGTGTGGGAGGCAGTGTGTGTGTTGGTAAAAGCGTGATTGGCAGTGTGTGTTGGTGACAGTGTGGGAAGGCAGCAATGTGTGTGTTGGTGAGTGTGGAGGGGCAGTGTGTGTGTTGGTAACAGTGTGGGCGGTAGTGTGTGTTGGTGACAGTGTTGGGGGGCAGTGTGTGTTGGTGAGTGTGGAGGGGCAGTGTGTGTGTTGGTGACAGTGTGGGGGGGCAGTGTGTGTGTTGGTGAGTGTGGAGGGGCTGTGTGTGTGTTGGTGACATTGTGAGGGCAGTGTGTGTGTATTGATGATAGTTCAGTCTGCCCAAAGGCGATGTAGGTGGTTGCGAGGGCTTGGGCAGCCGATTAAATCACCTAGCCTTACTCTTTGGCATGTAATGACAGGGGCAGCAAAATGCCTCCAAGTCAATGGGCCTATGGACAGGCTAGCCCTGGCTACACCTCACTGACTGAGCAGTGTGGGGGGGCCCTCCAAAGGGCAGGCTATTTGAGTTGTTATTTAAGTTGTTAGTATTCTTGGAGGCTATATTTTAGTCTCTTTGTAAATTGTCTAATGTCTGCGTAAGGTAAAAGATCAGTCCAGATTTGGATCCCTTGCTCACTGTGCCTAGAGGGGTATCAGCCACATCTCACAGACGAGGCCCACCAAAGACAAAATGATCATCTGCATTTGCTGTACCTGCCATACAGAGTGCGATATGACCATCTTTTTATTTTTTTTACTTTTTATTTTTTATTTTTGCAGTGCATATATGAAACACAATCTGGCTGCTGATGATTGCTAGTCAGTGCACAGTTTTATGATTTAGTAGAAGCTTTAACAATATGCTATGATACATCGGTAAATTGTAGTGAGGTTACAAACCTAAATATGCACATGAATGTGCAAGTTGTACTTAAAGCTGTAGGCGTGTGGATCGCATGTGTGAGGAGAGAATCAAACATTTTACACAGTTAACAGGCTAGAACATGTTTAGTTGCTTAGGTCTTAGGTTTTAAGCTATATATAAAGATTACTTGCAGTGCTCTTATCTTAATACACATATGGAAGGTGGAATGTGCTATGTGTTGTACAGGCTAATACGATAAGACATACTTGTAGACTGAGCGAGTAGTTGACCAGCTATGTATGAGTTAAACTGCTAAAATTGTAATGGTCCCGCTAGATTGTTATGGAACATGCATAGTAAGTTGCACATGCTAAACAACAGGTACATTCTATTGGGTAGAGCCCGCTTCGGAGGGACAAGATTCAAACTTTAACTAGGGCACAGTGGGCATGCTCTGAAGTCCGTGGTCACACCGGGTGAGTTATGCCCTGGGTCTAAGAGTTCTTGTTGGGATTCAGCCAACTCCTAGGCTTGTAAACTCGCTGGTGTGGCTGGAGGACAGTTCCTGGGGAAGGGTAAATGTGGCGACCCTCCTGCCCCGGGCTGTGGGGAGGGCCTGCATCAGTGTCCCATGGCTGAGTCCAAGTCCTTCCCTGGTGGGATACGGCAGTGTCGCTTGGGTGGTCGCTGCTTGCGGCGAATCTTCCCTCCTCCGTGGGTGGTGCGTAGGTGGATTTACCCTGTCGGCTCTCGGCCCAGGTGCACTCAATGCTGGGTTTGTTACCGCTTGGTGAGTGCTTGTGCCCGAGGGTGGTGCACGGACCCCCTCTCCGCTCTTCCTCCAGCCACTTTCTCGGATTTGAGTTGCTGCCTTGCTTCGGGCCTCCAGTTGTGTAAGGCGTCTATGTTTGTTCCTGTTTGCTGTGAGTCGCTTGCGATGGTGCCATATCCGCGCTCTTTTTGCTATACAGGAGGTGCCGTGGTGTAGGGAGTGTGTGGACAGCATCGGCGGTGTGTCTTCTTTTGGGGCTTGTGTCATGGCTTGCCGTTCACTAAGTCTCCTCTAGAAGGCTTCAAATATATTGTTTAGTCGTGCCAGGGTGTCATACCCCTTTGCTGTGTCCGGTGGTGCACCGCCATTTTCGGGAATACTGGCTCCATGTGAAATTGCTGTCCCGCCACCCGAGTGGGTTCTCCTGGGATTGGGATATCCCCCACCGATCCATAGGGGGGGAACGCAGGCTTGTGGACCCGTTTTCAGCCATAGCGGGCTGCAGGGGAGTGGCCGTCTCCCCCACGCCGCTCATGCTTTTAGGCCGCAGGTGTCTTGTCCTTAAGTTTTGCCCGTTGGGCTGCTTGTTTAGTGTCTTCATGTGCCCCTCAGTCTCACTTCTCCGTTGGTGACACTTTGGGATTGATTCAGCACCGTCCTTGGCAGGTAAATTGTGGTTTTGGCTTTTTAGAGCAGGAGCAGCTCTTCCCTGCGACCGCTCAGCTTAGCGGTCAGGCCCCACGCCCCAATGACCATCTTTTTTAGATGGGATTAGTCTGATATGCATATAGTTTAGGCTTTCTCTGTAATAGTACAAGATGAGCTAAATCCAACTTGAGAACTGAACGGGACCTTCCAAAGGACTATTTGAGTTGTTATCCATTCTCAGTATTCTGTTGCACTCTGTTTTGGGTTAAAAGGTCACCAGCTGCCACTGGGCTAAAGTAAATGGAAGATCAAGACATGCTATAACATAAATGAGCAAGGAGACATATACCACAATCAGCACGATATTAAGTAATATAGTAATATTTAATATTGTGCTTATCACACTGCGTGTAATACCTATACATTTATTAATGTTAAACTTACTTAACCCTACCAGAATGGCCTCAAATTTTAAATCTAACTTGTGACATTTGTTCCCTAAGTATTTTTTTCGGGTTACTGCAATTAAATATTTACATATAATCCAATTCAACCTACCATAACAAAAATCTAATTAATAAGTTCAAGGTGACCTCTTGTGGTGTTTTAAAAAAAAAACATATCCTCCCACCACACCCTCATGAAGCAACTGATAGCCAGAATGTATTATGAGAAGTTATGAAGGTAATGTTATAAATGTGGGAAGCACACAGCCTCCAGACAAACACATCAAAGTTCTACAGCAACGTCATTTTTACAATATAACAACAATGAAGGAACTGAGGTCTTTGTTATAGTATTCCAATAATAACATAGGCTAACATTTCAAAAAGCAGACTCATTTTGACTGTTCCGATCTCTCAAGGGGTTCTAAATCATTGCTCCTGGGCATGTTAACGTTGTTTCTATACAAATACTAAAAGCTGTAACTGGTACTGGCAATTCGCATTGTCTACCATCTTCAATTTCATGCTAAATATAATAATGTTATAAAAGCATTGACTCTGGATTTGTGAGGATCAATGTTCTCGTAGTATAGGATTACATTACTGCAATGTAAGAATTTCTTCACAATAAGCAATCGTTTTGAATGTTAGGGACTTTCTTTGGTAAATCATTCCTCCTGGGCATGTTAACTTTGAATAAATAGCAAATATATAGAGAGAACATAGTGAGAAAACCACATCGTAATAAGGGGATCACAGCAGGTCCTAACTAAAATGAGGAAACAGGGGTCTATTTACTAAATATTGCTCTAAAAAGGGTCAAGGAGTTACCAGAGTGTAGATAAAAAAAAACCTGAAAGAATCAGTAAACCTGATAAGACCAGGAGCTGCTAAAAACACCTATAAATTTGTTAAAAGAAAATACAGTAGTAAATGATAAAAATCAAGTATATTCACATTGAGTCCATTTAAGATTCACAGGTATATATAATAGTCCTGTGATTAGTAGATCATAAGACTATCATATACACAGTAGCCGGTAGAAATAATGGAAATAATGTAGCAAACTGTGCTTTATGATACAGGATGGATATACACTGTAGCAATCATAAAGGCTCTTCTTGCTAAATGTTATAGTACCGAAGATAGAAAAGAATTCTAGGTAAATTACATTCCAAATGTAATACTCCACTTTTAACCAGTGCTGGCCTTACGCATGGGCACGCTGGGCAGTTGCCCTGGTGCCCCAGAAGCATAGGGACCTCCCTCACCGGCCCCCTGGCACTCGCTGCAGCAGAGGGACTGAAGGAGAACCTGGGAGGCTGTGTGCTCCTCCCGCGAGCAGGTAGTCCGGAGCAGTTCCGCACTTTACCATGGCAACACTCCGACACAGCTCGTGAGAGAAGTAAAGTCAGCTAGCAACTAGAGGAGCTGCTGACTAGAGTTTACTCTCCACCACTGGACCGCCAGACATTGCAATGTCCCCTCTCCCTTGGAAAAGGTAAGAAGGGTAGGGAGACATAAAACTTTTATTTTTCTACATAAAAAATATATACAGATTTGCCCGCATCTCATCCGTCACACCCAATATAGACCATAATGCACCACTCACAAGCCCATCAGCCCTCACTACAGTCTCTGTGTGTGTATTTATCAGTCTGTCTGTGTGTGTGTATTCAGTTGTTTTTTGTGTATTCTGCAGTCTGTTTGTTTTCTGCAGTCTGTCTGTGTGTATTCTGCAGTCTGTCTGTGTGTACTCAGTAGTCTGTCTGTGTGCATTCAGTAGTCTGTCTGTGTGTATTCAGCAGTCTGTCTGTGTGTTCAAAGAAAAGGGTCTAGGCGATCTCTATAAAATATGGTGCATGGCAGCAGTAAATCAACAAGGATTCCCAAAAACCTTGTATAAAAGGGCAATACTAAAGAACAATAGGTGATAAACTGCGCCTGAATACGAAATTAAGCACTGTGTTTTTAAAGCAACCTTAACATATTATTTATATGTATATGTACTTTTATACTTATACTTACTTTAGTAAACAGTATGATGTTAAATAAAGAATCCTCAAAAATAGAAAAACAAAAACATATAATAGTGCAATATGTCACAATAATATTATATATTAAATGGGTGTTGTGACAGAATTCAAACGTTGTGGTTAACCGCAGACACCTCTTAATTGCCAAAGGTAGGCTGGGTGGTTGTCGTTCGTATGCCGACCACGAGGCGGCCATCTTGGATGCATGAATGCCCAGCGGTGTTCGTCGACGATCCCCTGGAACTAAAAACGAACACTATTTCTCACGAACACCGATGAAGCCGCCGACCTCCCTTCCCCGTTATCCAGCATACGAACGCCGGCCCGTTCGGTACCTTTTCTGCAAGAATGGACTTAACCCAGATAGCTATGCCATTGAGCCCATTTGTATAACGAAAGACTATGTGAAAGACTTTGGCTCCATGGCAATTGAACTGTATGTATGTGATCTGAGCGCCATTCGGTAATAATGTGCGATCAGATCTAATCTATCTAGGGATACATTAATCGTGTAGGAAAAAAGGAAAAGGGATGCAGCTAAAAACTAAAAGAAAAAGAAAACAAACAACACATAGTGATGTATAGTAAGATTAAATGCCACACTGCACTAATAGTTGCACTCACAAGAAGTTAATGAAATTTTTTATACTTTATTGGGTAATTGTGCCTAAATAAATCATTTTTCCAAATATTTGGTTCCTGACTGTATCCTGAGCCATTTGAGTCAGCTTACTATCCACCATCCTCCAGTAGAAGCGGTCCAGTAATATCCCTCAGTGGATTTCAAGGTGCATATTTCATTAACATCTTGTGAGTGCAACTATTAGTGCAGTGTGTAATTTAATCTTACTGTACACCACTATGTGTTGTTTGTTTTCTTTTTATTTTAGTTTTTAGCTGCATCCTTTTTCCTTTTTTCCTACACATCTGATATTGAATAGGTCCAAGTGGGAAAGACCTCTAGGGAAGCTATTTTGTCCTTATTCAGTTAAGTACATTTTATTCATATATGTGATATATGAATTATTTCTTTTTTGTGATACATTAATCGTACCTGATGCATTCGGTATTTTGCCTGTTATCCATTTTTGTGTGTTTTTACTGTTACATGTAAAATGGCGATTTGCCTCTATCCACAATTATCTTCTGGATAGGGTGGAGGGTCGTTCCAGCTAAAGCGGAGTGTTTATGCCTGAGACACTGGGATTGGCTACGGTATTCTTATTGTCCCAGTTTTCCACCAGGTCCCCTAGGGGAGTGTCCACCTGGTGGAAAGCCTGCATAAATACCGGGCAGGTAGCCCACATTAAATCAGATCTCTGCTTAACCCTCAATACGGAGCTTGGTCTCGTACTTGGGGGTATTGGATTCATATGGTTTACTCGTTCGGCATTGATACGAGAAGGATTTCGTATGGTTCCTGGTCGACTGATTGGAGCTTTCGTTAGCTGTCTCTCCCTTCAGAAGGTGAACGTCCTCAGCGGTATTAACCCCTCTTATACCTGGGTGTACCGTAACAGGTGTTCAAGAGAACTGACTCACACTTTGTTGAGCTACTTAGAGCTCTAATGCTTAGTGATTGGATGGTACAATCCCCCTCTCAGGATATGTGAATATCCACTTGTTTAAACACGGTAGTATTTCAATATATAGAGGATAAAACAGAATATGTATGTGTGTTTATATGCAGGAGTCTGTCTGTGTGTATTATTATTATTATTATGATATTTATAGAGCCCTGTCAAATTCCACAGTGCTTTACAATGGGTGGACGAACAGACATGTAGTTGTAACCAGACAAGTTGGACACACAGGAACAGAGGGGTTGAGGGCCCTGCTCAATGAGCTTACATGCTAGAGGGAGTGGGGTAAAATGACACAAAAAAGGTAAGGATAGTATTAGACTAGTGACAGTTGCAGAAGAGGAATCAGTATTCAGCGGTCTGTCTGTAGTCAGCAGTATGTCTGTGTGTTGACGTTGCTACAGAACTTTGATATCAGTATTCAGCGGTCTGTCTGTAGTCAGCAGTATGTCTGTGTGTTGACGTTGCTACAGAACTTTGATATGTTTGTCTGGAGGCTGTGGGCTTCCCACGTTAAAAAAAAAAAAAAAAAAAGAGGATCTTCACATATTGCAATATTATTTGGTTGTTGTGTTTCTGTTTTTGAGGATTCTTTATTGAACATCTACTACTGTTTACTCAAATAAGCCTAGCTACCTATGCATAGGGATTTGGGTTAGTAGCTCTTTTGCGTAGGTAGCTCTTTTTTTCTTTGCTTGTTTTGTATGTATTGGGGCTGATATGTGCTATGGTCATTGCTGCTGTCCTGGAAGTAGTGGGAGTTTGAGCGCAGGACTTTTTTTGTGCATTCAGCAGTCTGTGTGTGTTCATCATTCTTGTGTATTCAGCAGTCTGTGTGTGTGTATGTATTCAGCAGTCTGTCTAATTACGTACTCAGCAGTCTATCTGTATTCAGCATTCTGCGATTGTGTGTGTATTTAGCAGTGTATGTGTGTGTATTCAGCAGTCTGTGTGTATTTGTATCAAGCAGTCTGTGTGTGTAATCATCAGTCTGTGAATATATTCAGCAGTCTGTGTGTATGTATTGTATGTATGAATTGCATTTGTTGGAGGTACCTGTAGTGGAACGGCTGCCTGTTCGTGGGTTTTCCCTCTCTTTTACATGTGTTTCCCCTGTGTGCTCACTCCCATTTCGGGAGAATTTCTGCAAAGGGAATTCATTCACCTCTGTAATGGAACCGCTGGCACCCCGACCAGGTACCTTCCGCTGACAGATGCTCCTAGTGCTTTCCGAGGACTTCAAGCACTCTGCCCGACACCATAACCACTGCAGACCCCACAAATCGCCGCAGCTTGGTTGGGGTCTCGCCGTCTCCACCCACTCTGGACCCAAGACCAGGGTCCAGCTTCCAGTAGGTCGACCTCTCTCCGAATTCCAGAGAGCAGGAACAGGAATAAGCTCTTAGCAGAGCTTATTGATTATACCCTGGGGAGTATAGTGATTATAGCAATCCCCAGAGTGTAGTTCTCCAATCACCCAAACATGAGCCGAAACTTCATAAAGATACAAGATGATCTGCTTTTAATGACCACACACTGGCTTTTATGCAAGTCCCCATGCAAGGGGACATCCCACAGGGTGGGACACAGTACAACCAATCGTTTACAGGAAAACCATAAAACACACCCAGCCCAAACATACAATTGGTTAATGTAACTTATCAAAGGCAGGAAAAATACACTTTTTACACATATACTGTAACTTTAAAAATATGCATCATATTCACATAAAACATACATATTCAGAATCAGCATACTTTAAATATAAACATAACCAAAAATCATACAAATCCCCCCGGTAGATAAAAAGCTAGCTGGGAGTCCTTTATGACCGACCGCCAGCACTTTTTCATGCCCAAAACAGTTCCA